CACACACACACACACACACACACACACACACACACACACACACACACGTTTGTTCCTGTTCTTGATTAAAACCAATGAATTACTAATGAAAACAATCTGTAATCGATGGGTTAGTCAGTCAATCATCTTAAAGCGATAAATCAGCTGCAGTCTTGTAGAGTCGGACACAATATGTGAGTCAGATGAGCTTCAGTCAGACACCATTAAAACACATTCACATGAATAGTTTTCTTCTGACTTTGTGTAAAGTGTTTGTGTTCCGGTTTTAAAAGCTCCAAAAAGAAATCTGTGATGCAGAAATCTGTGCAAACGGCTTCTAAACGTCTGGAAGCATAAAAAGAGGAAACATGGAGCTGTTGACTGAACATACAAGAGAGTGACTTTTGTTGCTGCCGTTTACATTCTTACTGCTGCAAACTCGACAGGAATGCGCTTTTTGTTTTGTTGCTGGTGTTTAATTAAGTGATCCGGGAACTGTCAGAGGAGATAGTCTCTTTAAAAACCTGTTTGTCTGTCAACTGAAGTCAAGCTGCTCCACGAGGAAACTCAAAGTGTTTCACAGGTTTTTTAACTCACAAAAAGCTTCAACGTGTCATTTTTTACCATGAACACAAATATAATAGCAAGAACACCGAGGAGAAACAAACAAAACATGAAACTGACATGAAACACAAGCTGTGAGGAAACTCTGCTGAGTTTCTGCAGAGCGACATCCTCCTGCTGAGTTACATCAGCTGGAGTCGGGAGGCGGGACAAAGCGCAGAGAGCCGGCAGCCCATTGGCTCTCACCGCCCCGTCCGTGACCTCCTGACTTCAGTTAATAAACAGAGGGGAAGTCATAGAAACACAGCCGGTTTCCTTACTCATCAGAAATAAGGTGAGGAAGAAAGTGAGTCAGCAGTCTGGAAGAAAGAAAACACACATCTACCCTTTAAAAATCATGAAAATATATAATATTATTAAATGAGAAACAAATAAACACATAATGGTGCATTGTCTCTCTCTTTATTTAAATGTCTTTAGCCGTGACGTATTTTTATTTTCAGGAGTTTTAAAGTGTTTGAAACTGAGTTCCATAGAGCAGAGAGGCAGAATGCTCTTTCATGCTTTAGAAACATTTAGTGACATTAAGGTTAATTATGACACCACATCAGTCATCTTATTAATCCACGAAGGCAACGAGCAACGCAACATTAAAAAAAAAAAGATTTCTCTCCCGTAATCCGGACATGAAGGCTGATTAACTTATGAAAACATCCACATCATCAACAAACTTCATCAGAAATAAACTGAACGAAACCAGAGAAGAAGAAAACGAGCATTAACCAATCAGAGGCAGAGAAGGGCGGGTCTTCTTCATGGAATGTGTGTGTGTGTGTGTGTGTGTGGGGGGGGGAGACAGTCAAACCACCGTAAATAACCGGCAGCACAACTGAAGTAAAAAATACTCTGTTACGAGTAAAAGTGCTGCAGCAAAATGTACTTTAAAAAGTAAAAGTACTCATTCTGCAGAGAAATGAGCCCCTCAGAGTTTTACTTCATGTGAGTAAACCAGATAACATAAAGTCTCCTTCAGCTATTTGTTCATGCAAACACCAGAGAAGAAGAACGTCACCATCATTAGAGTCATCAGCTTATTGTTGTCGCATCATCTGACATCATCTCACAGACACACACACTGTTTTTGTTCAGAGAGAATGTTTCCCGACAGGTTTTCGTCATGCAAACGTCGGTGTTTCAAAGAAGAAGAAACAGAAGGAGTAACAGCTGACCCGATTCTTCAGCTGTTGCATCGCCCTCAGAGATGTTTGTTTGGAAGCTCATTTAAAAACATCCTCCTGATCAATGAGTCTTCACACCGTTTATCTGGATGTTCAATCACTCGTTGATGGTAAATGTAGTCGATTGAAGCAATAAATCACAATAAAATACAGCAAAGTCATGGTCTTGACTCGGTCTCGATACTCTCCAAAGTCTCGGTCTCGATACTCTCCAAAGTCTCGGTCTCGATACTCTCCAAAGTCTCGGTCTTAACGTCTCAAATTGTTGGTCTTGTCTTGGTCTTGTCTCGGCTAACATGCTAACTGCTAACATGTTAGCATGACACCTGTTAGCATGCTGACATGCTAAGTAAGCAATCCCCCACCCACACATCACGAGGATCTACGGGTAAAAAAAAAAGAATAAGATGGCACCAGACTTAAGTTTTTTGAATTTTAAATTGTAAAAGTGGCAGTTAATCAAAATGGATTCCCTCGCAGCCGAAACATCTGTTTCTATGACAAGAGTTTAAAAAGCAAGACACCTAAAATAACAAAAGGATGGATTCATATTTTAGTGGTCAAACAATACATTTATTTATGTTTAAAACAGGAACAAACAGGAAGTTTGGTGACATTTCATTCATGCAGTAAGAAATCTTGATAAAGTTTGAATCAAACATTGGTGGCATCTTGAAGACAGTTGTGCTTCTTAAGTATTGTCTCTGATATGAACGAGCACATTAACCTCAGATGGAGCTCAGTGCATTCTGACTAAACATCTTAAAAATCCTCGTGTTGATAAGAAACAACAACTCAGTAACAGTTTGTTTTCGTGGGAGGAGTTCAAAGTTCAAAGTGTCATCTTGAAGTTGAACCCAGTCTAACTCTAAACTGAGCTTAACACTGGCGAGCCTGGAGAACCGGCACCATGGAGCTGGTTTCTATCATTTAGGTGAATCAGTGGCACTCATAGAGAATTACATAATAAGCTGTATAAGGAATTAAATAAGTGTACGGACTATTATCTTAAGCCTCTCTGAAGAGATAGCGGTGGTGTTTTAAAGTGTAGATGGAGTTTAGAGAACCAGCACGAGGAAATATTCTCTCTTCAAAGTCACCAGACTCACAACAACAGTAACGTAACCTCTCAGAACACGGCAGCAAAGAAACGCTCTGCTGCAATAATCAATGTCAGCTGAGAGAACGCTAGATTTAGAATGTTTTAAGCTGAATAACAGCTTTAGTTCAGGCAAAAAGGTGAAAATATTCTGAATATTGTGCACACTTACATGGATATTGTTGGTCTTTTTGAGTAGTTTTGAGCGAGACATTTACTTTTGTTGACACAAAAACCAACTAAATATACTTATCATATCTATAAAGGTCCCAAAATGCAGCTATAAGGTCCATTAACCAGGCTGAACTATAATCTTTCTGATAGAAGATTTCTTTCACCGTCTCTAACGGAATGATGGTGGATATTTAATTACTGATTGTGATGTCGCTATTGGTCTCACTCGCTACTTCTGTGAGAAGGATGACGGCATTCTTTTTAGGGTTCATGGTGATTAACCAGAAAACACCCGATGAAGCCCAAAGATAGCTGGACAACAAGTCTCACTTCAGCATTAAACATTTCAACAGTGGGAAAGCTCGTCCTACCTGGAGCTGTGGGGGCAAACATCTGACCGGCTGCCAGAAACAGTTTGATGTCAGTTAAGCTTCCTTTTCCTTCCAGCCAGATTGTCGTTTTCTGACAAGATTAGCAGTTTAAACCGAGCCTCTCTCGTCCCCCGTCGGCCCTCCAGACATCTACGACCCCGGGGACCAGATTTCATCCTGAGAGTCCGAGTCGTCTGACGCAAAACCGGATTTCCCGCCGCCTGCGTCCGCTCCTCCGTTGATGCGGTTCAACGGGACGTAAGAGAAGTCTCGACGTTCAGCGGAGCGAGTGGCCGCCGGGCCGCGACACGCCCGAACCAGGTGAAGCAGCAGGCTGGCTATCAGCAGAGAGGACAGGCTAAAGGTGATCATCAGCCAGGTGCGCCTGAGGAGAGACAAAGCCAAAGTGTGTTAAAGCTGCATTCTCTCTAGTGTCCACCAGGGGGCGA